TTAAAGTTCCACTCAAATAGAGATCTACAACTTGGTTTCTAAAAATGCCAATTTTGCCAGTTAGAGGGGTGTCTAGTCTGTCTTTTCAAGAAAGTCACAGAAATTTGTTTTATCTGGACGTAGACTGCGAGTTTCTTATAATAAAGGGTCATGCTTTTTTCTATTGTGCTTCAGTTCAGTGGAAAATCTTAAATACAAAAAAATCCTTTTGAAACCGATAACAACACTCAGATATAAATAATGATTCTTACAGTTATTATAATAACAAATAAGTCTTTTATAACTGTAATAGTACAAGTAACATTGATATATCTTATCAAAACACAAAAAATATTAGTAAAATTTGGATGACTTCTGCAGTAAGGTACATTTATATTATTAAAATAATTATTTTTTCATTTTTAATTATTCGATGTGCTTACATATTTACCGATGTACAATATTTAATATTACTACTGATATCCTGTCTATTAATTTTGTTCTTACATGTATGGCTTGCATCACGGCTCTTTACTAAAAAATCCCTATCATTTTAACAACCACAATGATAATACTTACAACTAATCTGTATGTTACAATGCAGTGCGATAACTTCTGAGTATGATCTAGTGCTATGCACAAACACATGTTTACATACACTTTGTTCTATTATGTGTAGCTGCTTTATTGTAAAGTTGGCTCTACTGTGTACAAAAAAGCTAAAGTAGCTAATTGGGCTCTACAAGTCGTGCTTGATACACAACCAAAAAAGATAAGATTCGTGTATTCAAGAGCCAATAATAAAAAATTATCTAAATAAAGTCTCAGTATCAATTAATTAAGAGTACCTTTTATTCCCTATACTGAGTAACAATTATGATACACTAAGTTACAGCAAATCACGACAAGGATGAATCGAAAATATGTAAACAATAAAATGATATTGAAATATACCTCGTGGATAAGCAGTTTGAGTAAAGACGACTTAACTGAAGTGTGAAATCGTTTTTATATTTCAATCGACAATCAAGTTTCAGAGAAAATTCGTGTAAAACGTTAAGTAAAATGTTAAGTAAACACATAAAGTACATTATCGCTTGAAATAGTAACATCGACAATAAAAATTATCAAACAATAGAAAGCAACACTAAAGACTGTTCCTCAAGTACGTTACATCTAACGCAGGAGAGTGCAGAAAATTATAGCAACAAATAATGTCATTGGTAGGCCCAGTAGACCAATTTTAAAATAAAAATAATATGAATTTATTGTTGGACCAATTGTCTTTAGATATCACGCTCAATGGAATCAGAGACAAAAAGAAGCCTCGTTTATTGTTAACACTTTTTTTGTTGGATGTGGAAAAGGAATTGAAAGCAGTATGTCAATGTACAGTTTAAAGTACTATTAGTTATAATGCTTTAACAGCAAAATTCAGAGAGTTATACAGCCCAAGTAACGGTGAGTATTTATCACGTTTTATTTTTTATAAAAGAAAACAAAAGGCAAATGAAAATATCCAAGATTTCTTATCACCATTGAAAACTCTGGCAACACCCTGCAAGTTTCTTGCTACGGAATTTAGTGTTAAGTTAAAGGATCAACTAATTTCGAGAGTGTCGAGAAAATTAATAAAGTAAAAATTGCTCAAGGCACCCGATAAATATTTGAAAATTTTAACAGAGTTAGCCAAAACCATAGAAATTCCTGAGGATAAAATTGGAATATCGCGAGCAGTCGTTGTGTGCATGTTGCGGTAAAACTAAGCACTTACATTTTCAATATTTCCTTAAATTTTAAGTCTGTAGCAAATGTGGTAAAAAACATCATATTTTTGTATGTGTCTTTCTAAAAATATAGGTTTAAGTCAAGTCAAATAATAAATAGTTTACAAAACGAAGATAAGAAAAAATTTTTAGTATTTTAACGTCTCTCTTATTTAGGACTCTAGCAACAATGCTCTTGAAAATATTGATTATTAAAAACAAGATGATGTTCAACTTAGTTATGAACGAGGTGATCATTTCTCAATACATAAAACTGAAGTAAAAGACAGCATTGTTCAACCACTTACAATTTATAAATTCATTAAACTTTAATTTGAAACTATTATAATAAATTATATATGGGTTAACATTTAAGAGGAACAGCGCTATTTCGCATAGTTTAAACAAAGAAAATTTGTCTCATGGTCCATTATAACTGCAAATTAAAACTCACGCTATTATAATAAACAATCCGTTCAGGCAGTTGATGGAATAACTGTAAATATTTAACGACACAAAATAATGAAATAAAATGATTTTTCTGTCATCGATGACTTCAGTTTTTCACTATTAGGTAGACAATGGATATATAGTTACGGCATGTGGCTCTTACGATGATTACACAGTTTGAATCATATTAATAAAGATTTTAAGTTCGTTAACGATATACGTCATTCAAACAGAGAAATATTACGAACGGAATTCTCAGAAGTATCCAAAGAAGGTTCCAGCTTGTTAAATCGTAGTATCTCATCCCAACAAGTTAATCCCAATCCCATTTAAACATACACGACTTCCATACGGTGCTTCTACGAGCCCAGGATCATTTCAACGAACGATAACAGCGTTACTGATGAAAATTCCAGGAATTGTTGCTATTTGGATAATTTTATTATAACAGCACCCGATAAAGAACCTCATTTATGGCATATCTGTTTGAAGTTTTGCGCTAAATAAGCAAAACTTGATAAGAATTTAATATTATATAATGTGAATTCTTATTGCCACAAAGTTACGCCCTCCTTATTGCTACTTAGAAAAACAACGTTGCTTTCTCCAGACCGCAAAGTATAAAAAATATTTAAAAAAAAAAGAACTCATTTAATTCTTTAAAAATGTTTAATTTTTTTTATCCAAACAAACCGTTTGTGCTTAAATACGATATTTCACCGCAAAGTGTACTAGCCCTGTTGTCTCATTAAATGAATAAAAACGATCATTTTATTTATTGTGCCCACCGTACGTTAAATGTTAGTAAACAAAATTATTTTTATAGCTGCAACGCAAATACAAAGATGGGCAGTACTTTCGCCAATTTTTCGTTATAAGATACGAAGGGTTCCAAAAATTATGCAGATTGGTTAGGCCATGTATGTGTGAAAGATAATGCAATTAAATAAAAACAAAAAAAATTCATAGATCATACGCTAAACTTATTTCTTAGTTGGACTGGAGGTATGTACAGCGCAAAACGTGTAAGGACAAACTCTTATGCAAGGTGATACATTACTATTCGGATGGATGGCCAGATAAGCCACTAGCTGGTAAGTAATTATAAATTTTTTGTAATAAACATAAAGCATTGGCAGTTAAAGGTGATTGCTTCTTGTAGGGTCAACGAGTATTGGTTCCCAAAAAACTAAGACAACTTATTAAGCATGAATTGCATTATAGTCATTCAAGTATTAAAAAAATTAAAACTTTAAGCCGGTCGTTTGTTTGGTGGCCATCGATTATGATTTAGAAGAGGCCCAGCATATAGTTCTCACCAATTTTTTAGGTCCAATTGATGGTAAACTGTACTTTTAATAGTTAAAAGCCATTCAAAATGGCCAAAAAAGTTTGCCATGTCAAATACAGGTGAAAACGCCTCGGTGTCTCTGTTCAAGTACGTTTCCATGCGTTTTAGATATCCAGCCAATTTAGTCATTAATAATTATTCTACCTTTCTAGAAAAAGGTTCTTAAAAACTATTGAAAAACGTTGGTATCTGGAACAGTACGAATCTACCATATTGTCTAGCCACTGGGGCAGCGAAAAATTTAGTTGACATATTTAAGCGGAAAGTTATTTGTATGTCAAAAAGTTAACTCGGTATGACTGATGCCATAAAACAGTTTTTATCCAATTATAGGAACATACTGCATACAACAACTAATCAATTACCTGCCAAACTTATGCTGGGACATGAAGTACACGCATGGTTTTCTTTCATAAGTTTAGAAGAGACTAAAAACTCAATACATAATCATCAGAATCGAAAAATACGTAGCCATGTTTTTAAATTTTAAAATTGTGTAACACAGTGTGTTAAATTTTATGTGGGTCATCCTGTCATGGTAACTGATAATCAGAGTGGTAAAATAAAGTTGGTGAAGGCGGAAATTCTCAAAATATTGGTATCACAACTTACATACTTTGTCAATATTGATGAAATTACTAGTTGGAAGAGGCATTGTAATCAAATAATTGAATGCAGTGAATACGTTTTCGACAATTCAAAGTTAGTAATAAAAAAAACGAAAGAGACTTCTAGTAGAGGGACCTAGGTCTCAACAAATAAAATAACAAATCAGTTTGTAAGTTGGAGAGAGCGCAATAACTTACATGTATGCATTTTCTACGTTAATAATTACACACACGTTTACATTAATTTTCTTTTTTTAAGCTCAGTTACTTAACTAAAAGTTAGCTGTACCGTTTACAAGAAAACTGAGTCGTACCCGATAAACAACAATAGATAATAAGATTTTTATATTTAAGAGCAAGTAGTAATAAAATTTGAAGTAAAGTCTTAGTAATCGTTGATTACGAGTACTGTCAATTTCCTATACTAAATACTAATCAACATAAGTTTAGTTATAGCAGTTTTTACACTTGATTTTTAGAGACATTTCCAGTCTAACCTGTATTGTTACAAGCATTATCTTTATTGCTTGCAGGATTTTGAATTCTGCATCGTTCACACTGATTATTTCCTATTATTTTCATGTTTACTAAAATTTGCAAGTTGCATTTACTAACAGCTAAAATATTTTCCATCATGGTATATTCTGATCGTTATGATATTCGTAAAAAATATTTCTGTGTAGCAGAAGTTATAACATTTCATTAAGTCTTTGTGTATTAGGTAGAGTATAAAACGTGGTTGAATAAGTATTTCTGGAACTGTATGTCTTAGTGTACTAAGTAAATGCATCATCAATTTTATACAATTATTTTTTATTTCTTGAACAATTTTTTTTTATTGTGTATTTATACAGGACAAATAATTATTCCGTACTCAAACATCAATGAAACTGTGACAAAAACAAAGTATAAAAGAAACATTGTAAATCCTAAGCCTTTGTTCATACGCCATTTGAAAAACGCTATACTCAAAATAACAAAAAGAAGCATGCAAAATAAGATTGCTATGCTGCAAACCATCCCAACAGAATTAACTTCCACAGGTGATCCATAAATAAGTCCATACAAAAGCCATGGTACTGGAAGCCTAAAAAAAAAGTATTATTTTCATGATTATGAGAATAATACTAAACGAAAAGTTAAAATATAATAGTTCATAATATTTTTGTGCATCACTTTGTTGGAATTTTNCATTTTAATAAAGTACTTCAAACGCTCTTTAATAATAAGTTACTTTGTCCGTTAGAAAAGGCCATGCAACGTTTAGCAGTCCCTGTTGGCCATGAGACACGTCTTTGTGGCCCCCCTCAGAATCCGTGGGGCCTGCGTCAGTCACTAGGCCTTCCCCGGATCGGAACTGCCGGCGGATTCCCTCAGAGAGGTCACCGCCTGAAGTACTCGTTTTACATTGACGTTTTTCATATTGGCATCTTTTTCAATGTCGTACTGACCCGCGAAAGCCAGCACTCTTTCACCGGATCGGAACTGCCGGCGGATTCCCTCAGAGAGGTCACCGCCTGAAGTACTCGTTTTGCATCGACGTTTTTCATATTGGCATCTTTTTTAATATCGTACTGACCTGCGAAGGCCAGCACTACCCTTTTTTTTTTAGAAATTAGTATTTGGAAAGGGTTAAAACCAGGGCAGCAGCCCTCTTTGTTACCAGAGAGAACCGCTACTTGCTCGGGCCGGCCGGGAGTCGCCACTCTCCCTCAGTCCCACCCACGGAGACTGCCCTGGCGTTGAGTAACAAGTTTAAGAATAATGTTCGTGTGTAATGTATGTATTTGTTGATACACAACGGTCATCCCAGCGAGACGAGCGGCAGGTGTACAGTCCCGAGACCACGCAGACAACCCAACAAAACGGGCTGGCGTAAGACACTAAGGTGCCGCCATATAGCCTCCTCAGTGGTACTAAGCCTAGATTAGTCGAACCACCACGTCTTTTTTGTTCATGAGGCGTACAGCCATATCGGATGTGGTTACCTAGACTTACCCGAGCCTTATCATCCGGCTTTACCAGTCGCCAGGCCTCCAACGCAAGCCCAGAAAAGGACCCGCCACACGCAACCCAGGACAATCTGTAAGTGTTCCTGTGTTAGTTTAGAAAGAGTGTGTGATGCATGTATCTGAGAAGAATGTTTTAACCGCCACTTACTTCTTACACGATGGGTGCTAGTTTTTGTTGGCCCGCATCAAGCAATGGTTTGCCACCTGCAGAAGCAGCAAAAAAGCGAAGACCAAGGAGCACAAGCAGAGCCGGCCCATGCATCTACACCGATGGAGCCATGGGGCACTAGTCCCCTGTCCACATAGCCGCAGATACACATGCCAACGCCACAGACGCCCCCCGATCCACGCCTCCGACCACCACCGCAGAGAGCCACCCCAGCTGCCCATCGTCACCTCATATTTTAAGAAGATGCCCCTATCCGCCACCTGGGGAAGCGCCCGGTATGGAGAAACTACCGAAAACCCCACATGGAAGTAGTAGTAGTAGTAGTAGTAGTAGTAGTAGTAGTNATTATGGTGATTATTACTATCATTATTATCATCACTATTGTCGTTGTATTATCGTCAGTAAATGGCTTGCAGTCACTTTAAGGGTCTGGTGGTGGTGGTGGTGGTGGTTCAGGTGGGGGCCTAATGTGCTTTTCGTTAGCCTTCTCCTTTTCTTCTTCTTTCTCGCTCTCTTCATAGCTTTCCGTATCCCACGTGTCCTCTTCACTATTCTCTCCATCTCGTTTGGTTACAGATTGGTCACTGTTATCTCCTTTAAGATTTTCTTCTGTGTTATCTCGAGGTTCCTGGTTATAGGGATCGTCGCCTTGATTATTATTATTATTTTTAGGTGAGTAATTGCGATTGGTTTCCTCTACGAGTGCTTGAAACTGTTGGCTTTTAAGATGTGTGTGCTTGAATTCTGCGTGTTTACCCCCCATGAAATATTGGTATACTGTCTTATTGGGTGACACTTGCAGGTGTATGCATACGTTTGCTTCATACTGTTGTGAGAACGTAAAAGTGCATTCCCCATCGCTGAATTCATGACTGTTATTAAGTATTTGTTTGGATCTTTTTGGATCTTTACATTTATTTACCCATTCTGACCTGCATAGTACTTCCTTAAGTTTTTCTGTTAATTCGGCCAACCCTATCACCTGTCTAGCTTTTCGCTCTCTCTCTTTTTCTGCTCTTTCCACTACCTTGCTGTTCCATGCTAGCTCGAATCCCCAATGCTGCTCTGACTCAGCTTTTCTTTGCGTTGCTGACAGTGTATTACAATGCGAAATAATAATTTTCTTTGAGTTGCGCGATTATTCAATGGTGTTAAAGAAATCTGGGATTTTCCTATGTAGTGTATTTCATTGACGTTTACAAGTTCTGTGTTGTATCTTCTTCACTGAATCTCATTTATAAACGGTGTGCTCGTTGTTTTCACTTCTTTTTTTATGTTTTTTTCTTTGCGCATGTACCCTCGCTTGTTGTCTGATGGTTCTTGCGACAAGACATCTTCTTTGTCATTTTCCGCTTCAAAGAATATCTTAATGTGTCTTATCTTTTGGTTTTTCCGTTATCTCCCGTTCTGGTCCATGATCTCTATCACTGTAGCTGCTGGTGCTTGATATGTGTTCGCTTTCTCCAAGTTTACTAGATTTTTTTAAATTACTTTCTTGACTGACTCGTCTGGGTCATATATTTTTCCTTTATCTTTTTTATTTTTTTATATCAAATTTCTCTGTCTCCCTGTACGCATCTTATACATGCGTGCTGGTGGCGCGTTTACGTCTTCGTGATTGTCCCTTTCCTATTTTTTCGTGAGCTCATAAAGCTCCCAGTGGGGCAGTTATGGATTCTCCCCCCCTTCTTTGATTATTGGGTTACGAGACAGGGCATCCAGTGCCTTGTTTATTTTTCTGGGTCTGTAAACATTACTAAACTCGTATCCCCGAAGTTCTGCCTTCAACCTTATAAATCATAAGTCCGGCTTCTTTGATGCATGAAAATGCTTGAGCGGTTCGTGGTCCGTTACGACTGTAAATTTACGACCGAAAAAATGCGGTCTACATTGCTCTTTGGCATTCACTATCTCCAACAATTCCTTATCGTACATCAGGTACCGTAGTTCGCTGCCTTTCAAACATATGGACGCGTGTTCACAAGAGTGGTCTGAGCCTATTTCTTCATTGCTCAAAATTGCTCCGATAGCGTAGTCGGATGTGTCAGTTGTTACTGTAAACTTTTTACTTATATCAGCACTTGATCGCTACATAAAGCGTGTTTTAGATTTACGAATGCCTATTCCTCTGTCTCTCCCTATTTGAGCTCAATAGTTTTTCTTGTCAATTTTGAAAGTACTTGGGCTATTTTTTTATAGTCCCTTATCTATAGTATCCCGTCATAAATCATCTATAGTATACCGAAAGCCACGAAATTGTTTTATTTTCTTGGCATTTGTAGATCTTGGGAAGTCGTTTATGGCCTCAGTCGTCTTTGGATTCTTTTTTATTTTTCCGTTGCCAACAATGTCTCCCAGTACCTTTGCCTCGTGCTTGAAAAATTGGCATTTCTTTGGCTCTATCTCCAGGTTTTTCCCGAACACCACAATATCATCCATATGTATTTCGATTTCATGGCCCTGCAGTTCTGCGAGTGTTAGAGTTATCACTGGCATAAAGGTTTATGGTGAGTCGTAGCATCCCATCGGCATTCTCTTATATTGGTAGTGCCCTTTAGGGCCTGGGAATGTGGTCTTGTGTGCATCATTCTCATGTATTTCTACCTGGAAAACCTGCTCTTTAAGTGTATTACGGTTATGTATCGCGCGGCCACCAGATTTTCTAAAATTTTATTTGAAAATAGTAACGGATAGCATGAGCCCACCGTTATCTTACTTAATAGCTGAAAGTCTGTAATGACTCTCTAGCGTTTTTCCTCATTAGACCTAGATTTTTTGGCACAATCCCGGCGTTGGAGCTATACAGCGATTTTGATGGCTCGATTATACCTTTCTTTAACAATTTATCTATTTCCGTCTGCATTTGTTCCCTTAATTTGACAGGGTATCTTGCCCTTTTTACTGTAATGGGTCTATCTATTGTTGTTTGTAATGTATATTTCAATAAATTTGTTGCCTTTAGTGGTTTACCCACTAGGCTGAATACGAGATGGTTAAATTCTATTAGTTCTCGAAAGTGTCTTATTTCTTCTTTGTTGCAGCTTGATGTGTCGAAAAGTTTAATTATTTCTTCAACCCGTTCTCGCATGCTTGCTTTTTGACTAGTGTATTGTACCTCCATATTGATATAATTTTTTTTGCCTCCCTCCTTTGCTCAACGTTCATTCTCTTAAACATCTAGAAATTCGGCGTGGTCTAACCCTGCCTGATTTTTTTAGCTCTCGCTTGATTCTAAATTGAAAAGTCCAATCATTGTATTTCGCAAGCCTCCAGCATCATCCCCTTCGATGCCAAACGGTTCTGCCCAACACGCAGTCTTGCATTCTAGTAACTCTACTTCCGGTAATGGTACCTTTAGTTTTTCGTTCGTTGTATTTATCATTTCGGCATACACTTTGCCCTCTTTATTTTCTGCTATTAAATTCTCAAACAGGATTTCCTCTTTTACATTCTGTAACGGAACCCAGCCAACTTTAAAATTGTCTTTAGTTTTTTTTACGTGCGTGAATATTATTTTTCTCGTTTTTGCCGGAATCTAAAAATATTTCCACTAGTATAGGGAAATCTCAGTGCTGTTTAATATTAGTACTTGGCTTCCGGCTCTTATAAGGCCATCATTAAATTTAAACATGTCCCAGCTGGAGGAACACGGAGGAAAAATAGCCTCCGAGTCCTATGCTGCGCGTGTATATGCGTTGACTCTTTCACGCCATGTTGTATTTATCATTCTCTCAAGTGGCCCATATTACATTCCAATTGCTTTACGCAGTGTCAGTAGATTACGGCAAGTTACTTGGTAGTTGTGCGGAGCCTGTAGTCCATAGAAACATTGTCTTATTGACTCTTTTTCTGCGTCTTTTTTAACAAAATTTTTGTGTTACAGAATAAATTAGGCTTATGTCATGT